GAGAGAGAGAGAGAGAGAGAGAGAGAGAGAGAGTAACATGCAAAGAAAAGAAGGAGCAGAGATAAGGACGATAGAGGGTTGAGATGTTTGGTAGGAAAGAAGGAGAAAACTCAAACGCGAACAAACTGACAAAATCTTTTGCTGTATAATATATAGCTGGGTACCCACTTCCTCATTGGTGAAATGAGGGAAATTCGTGAAAAGGGCCTTTCCCAAGGAGACAACTTCGAGCCCCTGACGTGATTCGAACCCACGACCTTGCAGTTATGCATCCGAGAGCCTAACCATAAGGCCACCGACTCCTTCAAGGACATGGTGAAAACAGCCCGCCTACTAAGAGGCATCATAATTTACATCGATGAGGACGCTTGATATTAATAATAATAATAATTGCATTTATATAGCGGATATCCATGCTCAAGAGCATGCTTTATGCGCTTTACAACTAGTATTACCCCAGCAGACCCTCTGAGAACACTCAGAAACCTTCTCATGTATTTGCCATCAGACTTTAAGTTGAAACCCATGGCAATCAGAAAATAGTTGTACATGGCGTATTTGAAACCTAAAAAAAACAACGACTCATTGTTCTAGCGTAACAATTTCTCCTGTTTTGACGAAGCAGCCTGGCCCCTAAATGATCTCAATTGTTTCGATTAGGGTTGGAAACATTTACAATCAAACCATGTAGGATCGATCGGGAATTTCGCTCGCTAAAACAAGGCCAACAAGGTGTACAAAGAATTTCGCCCCTCATTGGACTGGCTCTGTTGTTCCCTCATTGCTGTGGTTATCTCTTTATTATCTTTTAATTTCTTCTTTTTTGTTGTTTATGTGTTTATTCATTATTTCTTTTGTTCACTCAACCATTCTTTAGTTTTTCGATGGTTCATTTTGACTGCTTTAAACATGCATTTATTCATGTTTTGTTTCATTTTCCCAGGCATTCTTTCAGTTGCTCGTCCATCATTTTTTTGTTGGATCAATTATTCATTCTTTCGTTATTTTTGTTTTGTTCGCTTGCACCATTTCTTCCTCTTTCTGTTGTTCCTTTCAGTCGCTCACGCTCTGTTATCGCTTCCATTAATGCGTGTCAGCAGCTCAAGTGGTGTCATGTTGGGTTAGAGTACAAAAAGAGTGAGCCCGTCGTCTCCCCCCCCCCACAAGCGAAACGATGTTACACAATATGAATTGCACTACGCGGGCTGGAGTGTCGCCGTCTATAAACCCAGCGCGAACCCGTGCAGTACCCGGGGCAGACCCGTCGTTTCGCTTGAGTTTTCATTTTAACATTCAGCCAGCGTGGAACCGTTTTTTTCTCTCTTTCTTCAACCAACAAAATAACTTGGACGTGGAAGCTTTGATAGTGGTTATAAAAAGAAAAAGACGGTCTCTTTTTGATAAGGGAGACGATTATTCGAACAGAATATTAACTCTTAACAACTCTTTACTTAAAAAATCGAACAAAAATGTTGGATAATTTTGGAAGGCTATAAATCTCATATTTTTGTCTAATTTATCAATTTTTGTGCTTCTACATAATGCGGATGGTCTTGGGTTTTGGTTGTTTTGTAATGAATGTGTTTTTCAGGGCAGTTCAGTAAAGTGTAGTGGTTGAAAGGACCTGTCAATAATATTCGGCAGTTTAACAGACGGGACCACCGAATTTAACGTCCGTCTTCGATAGTACCGAGCCAAAATGATGGAGAGCCTTGAAAACTACACGAAATGGCCCGAGTTCAAGAACAGCCAGTCTGAGATTTGAACCAGGGCCTTCTGCTCTGTAGTCCGGCATGATACCAACAGAACTAGGTTTGAGCGACTGTGGACCCACCCTGACCTGACCCACTGACACTGACCTGACCCACTGACACTGACCTGACCCACTGACACTGACCTGACCCACTGACAATGACCTGACCTACTGACCCTGACTTGACCTACTGACCCTGACCCTGACATGACCCATTGACCCTGACCTGACCTACTGACCCTGACTTGACCTACTGACCCTGACCCTGACATGACCCACTGACCCTGACCTGACCACTTGACCCTGGCATATCACCTTACCCCGACATGACCCCCTGCCCTACTGACACTGACCCTGGTGTGACCCACTTCTCCTTTCCCCGCCAGGACCTGGCCCTCTCCGACCAGGCGTCTCTAGTGAGGGGCACGTGGTTCGAGTTCTGGTTCTTGGGCGCCTACAAAGGCTACAGCTCTGAGCTTCACGTGGTCACCTACCCCAACGGCCGCTGTTTCCACGAGGAGGAGATCATCAAAGTATTCGGCCAGGAGTACACCGACTTCTCTTTCTACCTCAGTGACCGGATGTCTGACCTCGAGGTCACGCCAGAGGAGATGGTGGGTCTGACTGGCTGGCTGGCTGACTGACTGATTGTTGGAATGAATGAATGAATGAATGATTGCTGGATTGACAGGTTGGGGGGGACAAGTTGAATGATTGCTGGTTTGGATGATTGGGGGGGGGTACATGGTTGCAGGATTGAAAGATTGTTGGATTGAATGGTTGCTGGGTTGAATGATTGCTGAATTGAAAGATTGTTGAATTGAATGATTGCTGGGTTGAATGATTGGGGGATCCACTGATTGATGGATTGAATTACATATTTGTTTATTGACTGAGATTGATTGATTGATTGATTGAGAAATTGATTAGCTAGATGTAGTTGAACGATTGGTTGGTTATTGTTTGACCAATGAAAAGATTCGATAACCCATGTTTTGTATGGAGGTGTATAAAATGGAGGTGAGTTGGTTGATGATTGATTGATTTTAAATTGATGGATGAATGGATGGGTGAATGGATGGATGGATGGGTGAGTGGGTGGGTGGATAGATGAATGGATGGATGGGTGGGGGGATATATAGATGGATGGATCAGTGGGTGGATGGATGGAAGGATTGATGGACGGGTGGGTGAATGGATGGATGGGTGGGTGGATGGATGGATGGATGGATGGGTGGGTGGGGTGGATGGATGGATGAATAGATGTATGGTAGGGTTGGTGGATGGATGAATGATTGATTGATTTAGTGGTCTATTGACAGATTAAACTATTGATTAGCTGAATGATTGCTTGATCATTGATCTGAGTAACTCACAACGGCCAGCCAAATATTTCAGATAGAACTTTGTAATTCTTGGGTAGCCAGCTACTGTGCTAAGCATGGATGACATTGATTTACCCGTTAAAGAGATATTTGTGAAGCGCGCTGACAAAAAGAGTTACTTCTTGGATTCGAGCCCAACGGAAATAGACACACCACGATTATAGGTGAAGTTTTTACAATTTATAAGTGTGAAATAATAAAAAGGCTTGTTATGCCTAAAGAACATGGCATCAATAGAAAATCTGCAAATTTAACCGCAGTGTCGATTTTTTTTGGCCAATATCTCCATTTGTGGATTGCGAGAAGTAACTAATTTTGTCAGCGCACGTCACATTTGAGGTTAAGTGGCGCCACGAATTTTTGACGGCACTACAATCTCTGGCACTTACATGTGAAGGGTGCCGACAAAATTAGTTACTTCTCGGATTCGAGCCCTATGGAAATCGCTACATCACGCTTATAGGTGAAGTTTTCACAATTTATAAGTATGAAGTAATATAAGGCATGTTATACTTAAAGAATATGACCAATGGAAAATCTACAAATTTGACCGTAGTGTCGATTTGTGACCAATATCTCCATTTGTGGATTGCGAGAAGTAACTCATTTTGTCAGCGCTTGTGAGGTTAAGTTGCGCCACGAATTTTTGACATCGTTACAATCTCTGGCACTTATATGACCTATTTGCCGCTGTGGGCAGGTTCTGATCAAGACGGTGTGCCTAACGTTCCCTGACCGGTCGAACCTGGAGAATAAGGAGGCGGTGGAGAAGATGCACTGGCTACTGGTCAACTGTCTGCTCCACACGCTGGAGAAAAACCGGCCCGGGGACAGCACTATCTTCCCCATCATTGTCGGAAAACTAGTGGAGCTCAGGTTAGTGGGTGGTCAATGGGTGGTCAGTGAGTGGTCAAAGCTGTGTTTAGTGCTGGTTGTGGTGGTGGTGGTGGAGCAGGTAGTGGTTTTTTTGATGATAGTGGTGGTGGTAGTATTGATGATGGTGGTGATGGTGGTGGTGGTGGTAGTGTTGATGATGGTGTTGGTGATGGTGGTGGTGGTGG